TTCATATAAAATTCAAATGCAAAAATAAAATAACAAAGTTTTAAAAAACACAGAAGAACATCAGATGACTCTACAGGGAATACTTTTAGAAGACAGAAAAATGTCACTTACTAAAAAGGCTAAGTTTTGTTTTATTAAATCCAAGAAAGGATTAGAGATACAGTTCAGCTGGTAGAGAATCTGCCTGCATTCCCCAGGTCCTGGATTCAATTCCTAGACCAACAATATCCAAAAGACACATCAACTTTAAGAAGCATGGTAACTGAGCCAAGTGTCATAGTACTAGTCTATAAGCCAACACCTTGAGTTGGAGGCAAAAGAATCAAGAGTTGAAGGCCATCTTCAGCTATTTCAGTTCAAGGCTGGCCTGTATGACTTGAGAGCCAATCTCAAGCCAACAAGGAAAGTATTAACAAGCCTAAGAAAACTTAAGGAAAAAAAAATGCAAACTCAGAGATGCTTAACATACATAAGTAATAAAACAATGGCATAAATAAACAAACAACAAATCAACATGAAAGACAGCTTCCCACGTCACAAATGGGCAAAGGAAAGAAAAGGAAGCTAACTGCTGCCAACGTCATGTTCAACCTCAGCAGCAATCAGGGCCCAACTGGAGTCACAGTGAAGCACAGTTAGACTGCTGAATGGCAAAGTGCTGCTTGTCTTTTGAGATAAGGTTTCCCTCTGCAGCCAAGTTGATCTCAGAGTCACAGTAATCCTGCCCCAACCTCCCAGGTGCTGGGACTGCAGGTGTGAGCCACTGTGTCTGGCTAAAAGTTAAATTTTCACCATTACCAAATGTTCATGTGGATAGGGAACAATAAGGACTTTGAAAACTAATAGACAGAAATCATTTTGGCAAACAGCTTGGAATTACCTAATAAGATGAACTCAGAGATGCCCTAAGAACCAGCTTGCATAAGTGTACCAGAAGATATTCAATAATATTATCAGAGGAGAAAGTTGGAAATAATCTGAATGGCCACTAGTGGAATGACTAGGCCATAATCTCTCCCTAGAGTATAGATTGTTTTCTGGTGAACGTGAATAAATAAAAGTTACAAACATTAACATAAGTAAACTTCCTGTGCAAAAAATGCCCCTCAGAGAGAAATACGGCAGAGCCCAAAGTACACAAAATAAATAATAAATACATTTAGGACATCTGTAAGGATCATGGCACGAAACCAAAAAGTCCAGCAAATGTTCAGTACTGACCACATGAATGAAATGGGAAATGATGCATGAGCTTCTCCACAGCTGTACAATGCTCTGTCCTAAGCTGTGTGATGAGGGATTGCATACTGACCTGAATATTAAATTCTGTCTCTCAATTATCCTTATATTTGGTACACTGTTTGACATACACATTTTCACAATAAGTTCTTTAAAATAAAGAAAATGTAAACATAAAGCTGGGAGGTGGTGGCACATGCCTTTAATCCCAGCACTCGGGAAGCAGAGGCAGACAGATTTCTGTGAGTTTGAGGCCAGCCTGGTCTACAAGATCAGGACAACTACAGCTGTCTTGAAAAAAAAAAGAAAGAAAGAAAAAGAAAAAAGGAAACTCAACAGAAGCACTAACACATACTACGCATAACCAGAGCAATCACAGAGCAGTTCCCTGGGCCAGGGCAATTCCTGGTGCTGCACACAGACTAACTCGCTTACTCTTTATAATGAGCTTACGGAATGGGACTTCCACTGGCCTCATCACCTGACAAGCTCAGGTGACTTTGCCAAGACCACACAATTAGAAATAATGCAAACCCCAGATTAGCGCAGTCTGAGCTCTGCTGCTAACCTGTGGGAGTGTGGTTTCAAACGTTCTGTTTCCAGAATACACACTTCATGTGTTGAGCTAATGGCCCTCAAGCCCATCTTCCTTTTATATGGAAGTAATAAGCTAAAGAAATATGCACAACTCTTTTTTAAGTTTATAAAATTTTATATAATAAATAGATAAAAATAAGTAAAATCTCTACTACATTCTTGAAAATTACCTATTTGAAAGATTTAGTTTCTTCAAATTTAATACAATCATCAAAATTCCAATGAAAAATTTTGGGGAGAATAAGCAAGTACACATCTTATTTAACCAGAAAAGTTAAATAAGCACATGAGAATGGCCAAGTAATACTGAGGGGTGGAAACCACTGAGGAGGACTCATAGTACTAAACAGTGAGCCTGTTCTAGGACTGCAATTATATACATACATATATATGTGTACACATATACATACACAGACACACACACAGACACGGAAAAAAGAACCGAGGCAGAAAACAGAGCACAGAACCTGGCAGAGATAAACTTGGCCTCCACATCTGCAAGCTGTGAACCAAGGGATTTAGATAGCTGTGTGGGGATCAAAAGTATTCAGAAAAAGAAAAACATTAACATCTACACTAAACATGTATGAATGTTCTTCTTATTGGTCCTAAACACTGCAATTACCTGCACAGCTCACATACATTGTATTAGGTTTTAAGTCACTACGGATCTACACTATACAAAGAAGGCTGAGTGGTGGAGATGGGCGAATGCTGCACCACTCTGGAGACAGAGGACGTGAGCTTCTGGGCTTCCAGGCAGCCAGGCTGGGGAGTCACTACTTGAGATGAAAACAACAGCAAGGAAAAAAGGCATTTCAACTTGCTGGGAAAGAAAATATTTTTATTTAATGGATTTATTATTTAATGGATGGGACAAACAAATCTAAACTACATTAGGATGTTTTCTAACTGAATACAATTTAAGAGCAAAATCAAAAAAATATAAATAAGAAAGAAATCAGAGTAAATATTTATATAACTGGGGAGACATTCTTACAGAACTTGGTAGTAAAGGAAAAACTAATAAACAATGAATCGGCACATACTATAATCTGTGGCATATAAACAGGCAAATGCTAAAGCTGCGGGAACTATCTGACACAGACCACAGAGGACTAACACCATAAATATATATCTTCATCAAATTAATGGCAATATCACTGATAGCAAGCCTCTCTTAGAGGAGCCCACACTCATGCTCTAGGGTATATCTTCCTTCCTTCCCATGGGCCTGGTTTTTGTTTTTTGCATTCCTCATGCTTAAAGTCTATTTTAAAATATCGTTAATAAATCCCAACATTGAAAAAACAGTACTACAAATAGCAAATAGACAGCAGATTAATACAAACAGAAGTAACACATGAAAAACTTCTAACCCATTAGTAATCTAAAACTTAAATAATGACATTTTTGTCAGAATACTAAATACTCAGTGTTACTAAAAGAAAATAAATGAGGCCAAAAACTATTGATTATAGTGGTTAAAATGACAAAAACAAAACAAAACAAAACTTGGGAACTTAGTGACATTTGAGAACTTAGAAACATGTAGCCTTTTCAATAATTACACTTTTGTTAAATTAAGATTAAAATACAATAATTTAAAATGAGTGCCACTGTCATCTTTTTCACAATAAAATTTAAATTTGAAATATTAAAATAGCTACAAAGAGGGGTTAGAGCGATGGCTCCGCGGACAAGGGCATAGGATGCTCTTGCAGAGAAGCTGGACTTGGTTCCCAGCACCACAGGGCAGCTGACAACGGTTTCTGACTCCAGTTCTTTCTGGCCTCCAAAGGCACCAGGCATGTACATGTGAACAGACATACAATAAGCAAAATAATAATAATTTATCTAAAAAAATAGAAGTTAAATTACAATACATCTGTACAAGGCAGTGTATGTCATTAGAAATATCTTAGAAAAAGCACTTTTACTACTTCAAATATTTGCAATCAGTGAGTAACTATCAGTGCCAAACACTGATGGAAGAGCAGAAAATAGTCTATAGGAAAAATCAAGGTCCCCAACTTTAAGAAGCTAAGGAAAATAATGGCAGTTTGTGATCACCAAAATGAGCAAAATTTTTACAAGAGTAAAATGCTTGCTCAGTAAACAGATGAGGTGGCTGCAGAATGGCTGAGGGAAAGGCAGGAAGTAAGCTTTTCGATAGCGGGAGGCATACAGAGATGGGTGCCTGGATGGATGCGACCTCTGCTACTGTACTGTCCTTACAGTGCAACCTGAAATCACTCATACTATGCTGCGTGGCTAGAAGCAGACTCCATCTGAGTGCTCAGGTTATTGGGTGGTCTTACCTCAGTTCCACAGCTGTGATTCAGGGATGACTGGCAGTATCTACCTCACAGAACTGCTTTAAGCACCAAATCAACTTACATACATCCTGTTCACACAGGAACTGTTTGTTAGATTCACATTAGTGGTATGCACTACTTTTTAAGATCTCAAGAAATTTTTGACAATATAGATAAATTAGATCCCTCTGTCAAAAACAGAAAGCCCTGGTGGCGCCAAGGAAACATGCTACAATATAACTAAGCAACAGAGGTACTTATAAGAATGTAAGACTGAAAAATATTTACAACAGATTAAGTGGAAAATGCAGATTATATCAAATACAATATAAAATTTTCTTAAGCTATATATACATTTTAATTATGGGCATTTTTTTCTTTCTTTTTCCTGGGGCAGAATAAGACTAGGGAGGCCTGGAACACATGATCTTCCTGTCTCCACCTGCTAGGATTATAGTTATGTGCCGGCTTGTATGGCTTCTGTATGTGTAAATTGTTGTGATGCTGAGATTTATAAACAATGCGTAACTTTCCTTCAGTTGTGTTTCCTGTGTCTTGGTCTTTGGTGTGACCGTTATGCAGAAGCATTACTGTTGTAAGCTGTTCAGTGATGAGGCCATGAGTACTGATGATCCTCCAAACATGCTAGTTACATTCTTCTGTTCTACGTGTAACTTGCGCTTGTCACTATCTACAGTGGTAGACTAATGCCGCTTAAAAACCTTAAGCTAACAGGGACCAGAGAGCAAACATACAGCTGTGCACACACCATCCCATCTACAAGGACACAGAACACACATCATCACTTAGATCTAGAAGGCAGGCGCAGGCATACTCCTCTCTTACCTTGGACCATTGCTGTCTTTCCTCCTTGTTGAACAGTTGCCTTGTTCGGCTTTGGCTCGTTGGTCTGGGAACTCATTTGTACGCCTATCTACAACTTCTCCAGCATCAAGTGCTCTGTGTAGTCGATAGTTGACCATCTTCAGAACGATGAAAACAGCAGCTACCACGGGACAATAAACTGCTACTATAATCATGGAAGAAGGAAGGGCCTTTAAGAGAAAGGAAATATATGTGTTTTAGAATACTTTATATTTTACTTATTCTAGAAATCTGTACCTAAAATAATGAAGTTATACACAAAACTATTATAATACTAAGTTGCAAAGGTAAAGGACTCTACTACCCAAAACAGAGGCTACTCATATGGCTACTGAACACCTGAAATGTGGCTTAGTTAGGACTAAGTGTGAAAAAGGTATGATATGTTAATTCTTAAACTGAGTGCAGGTAGGAAAAGTTGAATTATACTTAGCTAAAAATTACTGGAAATAATTTCACTTGTTTTAATACTATATCTACTACAAAATTTAAAATTACCTGTGTGGCCCACACTACATTGCTACTGCAGAGTGCTGATGCAGTCTGGGGGCGGGGGAGTGGGGGAGCGGCGCTTATAATCCAAACCGAACAGCTAAGATATTGCATAACCCTGTATATGTGAGCAGTCCCTGTTGATGTCTCTGTGAAAGATGGCTGCGGCAATTAAGAGAACCTGTTGCTCTTGCAGACGTTCCCAGACCCACATGGAGGCTCACAGCCATCCATAACTCTAGCCCCAGGCCATCTGATGGCTCTGGCCTCCATGAACGCCAGGCCAGGCATGCACATACAGGCAAAACACTGATACACATAAAATAGATTCGTTTTATTTTAAAAAGAACAGAAGAACTTAGAAAATAATAAGGCAATCAAGGGTAAATTGAAATAAGTCACCTATTCTGAAGACTTGGAGACCCATTCTATATAAGAATAAAATAACCTGAAACCCGAAAACCAGGGCTGCAGGCTTGGGGCCAGGCCCACTTGGAAGGCAAAGCTTCAGTCACCACTGTCAAAGAGCATAAACTTATCAGGCTGAACTTATCAAGCATCCTGGATTTGTGCAGGATAACCTCATGGGTTATCATCAGATTCAACCTCAGCCACTGCCATGCAGAACCCCAAACAAGCTTAGGAAGCCCCAGACTGAAACGGTGAAACTGAAAAAGCCTTCCTTGACAAGCCGAAGCTTCACAACAGAAATATGTGGTGTAGGTTTTGTTGAAGTGGCCTGAGAATTAGGAAAGGAGACAAAGCCCACAGCCTCACTCCAGTTTTTGTGTTGGGATGGGAATAACAGTTGTACATTTGGCTTCTGAAATACTTGGATTAAGAAACTCTACATAGGACTGGAGAAGTGGCTCAGAGGTTAAGAGCACTGGCTGCTCTTCCAGAGGTCCTGAGTTCAATTCCCAGCAACCAAATGTTGTCTGGCATAAAGCTACGCATGCAGATAGAGCACTCACACATAAAATAGTAAATCTTTTTTTAAAAAAAAACACATATTAATATAATTGAAAAGTTAAATTGCTGAATCTAATTTAAAACGTTCTAAATAACTGGTTTAGCCTTGTGATTTTGTTTAAACACCTATTTTCTTAAATTAATAAATATCAGATGTAGATCATTTTGTAAGATTTATCATGTAGGTACTTTAAGATGTTCAATTTATAAATTCAATTTAAATTAAAGAGATCTTAAGGTACAACAAGATACAAAAAGTAAACCTCTGGAAAGTAAAGGTTAAAATGTTCAGAGAAAAGGACATTTTAAGATTCTTAGTTGATTTGTATCTTTAACAAACCTAATATTCACTATAAAAACAAATACCCCAAAGAATCTTCTGAACAGAAAAGGCCACTTCAAACAAAGACACACACAAGGGATGGAGAGGAGATATAAGCAGAGAGAGAAAAATAGAAACTGATATAAACACAGAGAGAGACATAGGGAGGGACAGAGAGGGAGTGAAGCACAGACACAGAGACCAGTCACCCATTTGGAGAATTTACAAAGTTCTGGGTGGTGCTTGTTTCCTTCTGAAATTTCCGCACAAAAATAGAATCCCTGAAGGCCTGTTAGTTCAATGTCTCCGTTTCCTGATAGGATATTAAGGTATGCTGAATATAAAAGATTTAGCCAAGATTACCTATCTTAACATCTTAACATTAAGGGAAGTCATAGGCCCATTTCAATGTCATAGATAACACACCAATTCCATCTTCATAGTCAATAAAATAGGTCAGTTCCATCCTAACCCACCACAGTCTACATTAAGGGTAAAATGGCTGACTGTATTAACTGGACAGAAGGGAAATAACCAACATCTGTGTCAAACAAATCCAATGGAAATGTTAACAAATAAACGAAAGAGTACTTAATTTTGAATTGTCAAAGTTCAAAGCTCATCTAAATAATGTCAGTCCTCATACCCCAAATACTACTAACAACAGTGTAAATGTTCTTTAAACAAACCCATTGAAATGTGAGGGTTTAAAGACAACCAGAAAATCACTTTTTGAAAAGATACTAATCACAGAAAGACTGAAAATGAATTTTCCTTAAGAAATTTAAGGAGAACCTTACATACTGGCAACAGTGTCAGGTCAGAAACACTCAGATTACAGAAGTGCTCGTCTATCCTTCCATTCTGCGCTTCAGGTGCCTGAGTCCCACCCACAGTCAGTCCCAAACCTTCCAGGGACAGAAGCAGACACCTTGTAAGCTGCACTTCTCCTGAAGTGGGTCAAAGTGCAAACACAGTGTGCTGCTGAGCACTGCAGTAAAGCTGCTGCACAGCCACACTAGCATACAGTCTTAGGGTTCATCCACCTTGCTACGAGTGTGATTCACTATACTGTTTTCTAGGGCAAACACCTGAACCAAACATACACAAAATCACTGCAAAGTAGTTAGCTGAAACTTTTTCTACTTTATGGATTACACACTAGAAGGGTATGTGTGTGTGTGCTGGTACACACTTTCTTAGTCACATTCCACTTTATTTTTCAAGACAGGGTGTCTCACTGAACCTGGAGTTCACTGATAGATGGACTGGCCGAAGGGCTCAGGGGTCCATTTCTCTGTGGTCGTCCTCCACTGGTGGAGTTGCACTCCCAGCTTGAGCACTGGGGCTCCAAATGAAGTCCTCAAGCTTGCAGAGCAAGCACTTTATGGACTGAGCTACCCCTCAGCTCCCTGCTTGACTGCTGCATTATATTAGAATATTAGAATATACATACTATGTTTTAAGGAAAGCGTGTTCAGAAACACTCAGAATTCTAATTTGCAACAAGTATTAAGTCCAGGGAAATTAGGCACTTTGGGAGAGAAAGTAACGGGCAAGATAATAGCTTAGCTTAATCTAATGGTTAAAGTATAGCCATTATATAAAATATATAAACATTATATATATTGTGTGTGTATATATATATAAAGTATAATGTGTTTGCATTGTTTGACATAGCAAGTTCTACATTAAAATCTCTATTTTTAATCTTTCTGGAAAGTAACTACTGACTTCATAATAGTTCTGTTCTACAAATAATACTTCACAAAGTTCCAGTTTTTCCAAAAAGACACTTTTTATCTTCAAGTTATATAATTTTATTATGAGCGTTACCTTAAGTTAAGGCCAAAGACAAACCACAAGCAGTGGACAGCAGAGGTGAAAAGGCGGCAGAGCAGCTGGCATCTACTGGTGGACAAACAAGGCCCTCATTAAATAACCATAAAGGTCACAGCTCCCAGCACACAGATAAAGGCCTGTGGCACCATGAGGGCTCCAAGCAGCTCCTCACACACCTCAGACAGTGGGTCTTAAGAGCACTGTTTCAGATGGCATGAGCCTGCAAGGGACTAAGTTAAGGAAGGCAAGCTAGTGGATTTTACTTCTCCAGTATGATAATCAGGTGGTTGTGTGGTCCCTGCGATTTGTCTAGTGTGCAGTGATGCACAGGTATTCCAGCCAGTGCAGGTACAATCCGGTAGTGTGAGGCTAAGGGTAACACTTATAACTGACATCAAGACTTCAAAAGAATTTTTAAGCAAGCTTTCTTTTTTAACTATCCATCTTTAACATAAGATGTCTTTTTTGCTTGCTTGCTTGGGGCTTCTAAAATCATAACTTCCTCACTATGTAAGGTGCTGTTTACTAAATTAAGGTATCACAGATTAATGAGGCATTTAGAAAACCTGCGAAATAAAGATCTGTGTGTACACATACAGAGGAGAGACAAGACATATGAGATCTGTGTGCACACATACAGAGGAGAGACAAGACATATAAGATCTGCACACGAGAGACAAGACATATGAGATCTGTGTGCACACATACAGAGGAGAGACAAGACATATGAGATCTGTGTGCACACATACAGAGGAGAGACAAGACATATGAGGACCTCCTTCAGAGCAGTGATAAACACGAGAAAATATTAAAGGCAAGAGGATAGGAAGGAGGAGGAGACCTTGCAAAGGTAGTACAGCCAACCAATAAAAACTACATGAGAGGTTGGAGAGAGATGGCTCAGTAGACACCCTGGTACCAGACATTTAAAATATTAGTGTAAACTGATCAAACTGTGTGCACAAGTGATGTACTGTAAGCCTAAATTGATCAAACTATGTTCACTAGTGATGTACGGTCAGCATAAATTGATCACACTGTGTGCACTAGTGATGTACGGTCAGCATAAATTGATCACACTGTGTGCACTAGTGATGTACAGTCAACATAAATTGATCACACTGTGTGCACTAGTGATATATGGGCAACATAAATTGATCACACTGTGTGCACTAGTGATGTACGGTCAGCATAAATTGATCACACTGTGTGCACTAGTGATGTACAGTCAACATAAATTGATCACACTGTGTGCACTAGTGATGTATGGGCAACATAAATTGATCACACTGTGTGCACTAGTGATGTACAGTCAACATAAATTGGTGAGACTAAAACTACTAAATTCCATACACTGCCCAATACCTTTTTCACTCTTAAGAAAAAAGAATTCCAGCTGCTCTTCCAGGAAACCCTGGTTTGATTCCCGGCACCAAAACTCTGTAGCTTGCTAAAAAGCGAAAACATAAATTGTCAGTTTTAACCTAGAGCCAACAACTCCTCTTAAAATCATAAAACTGAAATTCTAATACAGACAGTACT